AGATGGCGACAAATGACAGCCTTCGCTTTTCAGTACGAAAAATAATGGATAATGATCTTCTTCTTCATTTCCTTCACTTACATATTGACACCTCTCTTGTAGTACAATGGTGGTGGTGAAGAGAGAGAGAGAGAGGAATATTATGTGCACAGTTTCTAATGCGTTGCATTGGACGGTGTTCATTTCTTTAATGTTTTTCTTGATGCCGTCGTTCCCCATGTGTCTGGTCTTCCCCTTGCTTTGTGTCCATTATATTTCTCCAATGTGGCTCTCTGTGGCAGTTGGGACCAGTGCATTCTCATCATACGTCTGAACCATCTCATCCGTTGCTTTTTAGTAAACTGTATAATTGGTTTAATTCTTAAGTCTTCTTCTTATTTCTTCATTTTTAATTGAATCTCTGTTTGTTACTTCGGCAGCTCTACTAAGAAGATACCCCATGACTGTTATGATTTTGAGCTCAATTAGTACGAGTCCACGGTTTCACACTGGCAGCATAAAGCTGGCCAAAAATAGTTATGTTGAGATTGTCCTTGGTATTCTTGAAGGAAAATTGTATATTTCCATGTTTCAGAAGTTTTGTTATTGTCCCTGTACATATGTTGCTTTTCTGAGCACATAATTTTTTTAAAATTATCTTTATCTGTTCTTGATGGTGATGATTATTATGGGAAAAAAGTTTACTTTTTTAGACCGCTACCTCTCCTTTCCAATGTTCTGAACACCCACCTGCCTTCAGTCATTCATCTCACTATCCCGGGAAGGTGGTATTTTCGTGTGTTGTTTCGTTTGGAAAATGACGGAAATAAAAAGTCCAGTACATCGTGGCCATATACATGACTTCCCAAAGCACGGTGATAACACAAGAAACCATGTCTGATTTGTTTACAATCAATACAGCACTGAGGGACCTGTGCTCTCTCCTCTCTTATTTACTAAATACATAGACAGAATATCAAAACTAGCCAGTTTTAAAGCAGCCAACCCAGAACATCCAGAAAATGAAGAACTTTACTTTCCAGAGGAAGGATTAGATCCACACACAATGAATGAGCTACAGTTTGCAGACGACCAATGTCTGTTCTACAATAAAGCAAGTAGACTGCACGACGATTTAAAATAAGCTAAAAAGTTCAACATGCAGAAGATATAACATGAAAATAAATACTGCTAAAACTGAAGTAATGTAGGTCAGAAGAATTCCTAATCCGTCTCATATCGTGTTGAATGGCACTTGTCTGAAGCAAGTTAAAGAATTTAAATATCAAGGAAGTAAATTCTCAGTGGATGGAAAAAAAGATCAGGAAATAGAAACATGATGCCTATGAGCTAGTGCACTTATTTACCAACTGAAACTGTTATTAAGACATCCAAACATAAATATGAGCTCCATAAAACAGATTATAAACAGCATATTCACACCAACACTGTGCTACCAGTGCAAGATATGGACATTATCAAAGGCTAACCTACGTAAAATCAACACCCGAGAAATGTGATGCCTTAGAAAAGCCGCCAGCTTAGCCATCCTAGACAAACTTAGACATAATATTATCAGACAGACTGTAGGAATGACACCATGCAGGGAATTCGTTGAGAAACAGAAGATCGAATAATTTGGTCATTTAGCAAATATGCAGCCAGAACAACTACCATAGCAGGCGCTACACATGAAAAGATCTGGGAAAAATATAAAACCGTACAAAAAGTATATCAGCGAGCTTCACAGTATAACAAACACAAACAAAATAACTTTGCGGCTATGGAGCCTTTATCAGCACTTACATAAATTAGACAATACTACACAAATACACACAATAACATATCTTCTTTTCTCGTAGCAGCCAGATTGATGTCTAGCCAATAGACTGGCGAGACACATGGAAACAGGAAAATAAATATCCCGGGGAATTCCAGGACCCGTAACTCGAGGATAAGATGAAACTGTAGGCAGTTCAGTCCCCTAGGATTTTTAGATGAAGCTGTGTTGGCAGTTTAGTCCAGTGGGCGCCAGGGTTCCCAAAGTGTAACTAAAGCGATTTTCAAGAGACTTGCGAACTCTGTCGCTGGAGTGGCTAGTTTTAATGGCTGTCACTTCCCTATCGTGGACACCTTAGTGATCCTGAGAATTGAAGTGCACTGGTACTGGTTTCAGGGCTCCGTTCCGCACGTCATAAAGATGTTGTCTGAACCTGTCAGCCAGTCAAAAGTTCTGAAGTGAAGTCAAGAGGCCACCCTAGAAGAACATGAATTGGTGACATTAAAGAGCTTCTACATCGACACAGAATGACAGTAGCCAGTGCTACCCTTTGAATGATGGATCGCAGACTGTTCCTCCCTACAATTTTCAACGGCAGAAGTGAAAATTGCTGTTGATAATGATGAGGATGAGCACAAACAAGGTCACAGTCATTTATACGTTTACAGGACGTCGCAGAACCAACCCCAGTATTCTTCTTATTATAATTTTTTTTGGGTAAAGGGGGGGGGGGGGATGTGGTACGGGGGTGTTTTTTGTTAGGGTCGGGGGGAAAGAGGTGTCTGTTTGTGGTTTCACTAGACAATTTTACGTTCAGTAGTTTGCCATTGCCTCTAAACGGTCGGATCTCGATACCAGTGACGAAACCAACGCAATGTTGTCTGCTGTCGAATCGTCTGCAGTTAGTATTGAATCATTTGCATCGGCATTACGAAGCGCATTCGCCCTGCCCAAAAGGAGACTCAGGCAGCGCAGACAGACAAGGTGGATGTTTCGGTGTATTACGTTTAACACAGAGAAGCCAATCATTCTCTCTGTTTAATGCCTCTCAAGACTCGACTATATCTTCTGATACGTAAATTTCTATCTTTGTAAGTGTTGATAACATACCCCCCCCCCCCCTTTCCCCTCCCCCCCCACACACACACACACGCTCACGCGCAATTTAGTGATGATTTATTCAAAACCTCTCTTCACTTTAGCTTTCAATTTCTTCCCTCGCACTGCGTGTACATACTTAGCATACCATAGAGAGACAATTAAATTTGAACAAAAAAGACACAAACAATAGATTGCACAATTTATTGCCTAGCAGATTTCGCTGTATCTCGTCAGGTGCATACTATAGTAACAATTGTATAAATGAAGCAAATAAGTGAATCCTTTATAACTAAAGTATAATTTCAACAACGATCAAACACAGCATGACTGCCTGTTAAATGCTTATTTTCGCTTTAGAAGCTTGAATGTCTGTGAGCTATTCCAGTTCACATCTTATAGTGACATGATAAAAATATAATTTGTTCGTTTTTTTTTAATAGTTTATTCAGCTGCTACAAATCAGTCGGTAATATATATATATATATATATATATATATATATATATATATATATATATATATATATATATATATATATATATATATATATATATATAATAGAACAAACACACAAGGTTTCTATTCGTCTAAATCTATTTCTCGTGAAGGTCTCCATACTCGATTGTCGATATTCTTCTTCTAGTTTGGAACTCCATACTCTGGCACTCTTCCTTCCCCCCGTGGACAGCCTCCTATGTTATTTCCGTAGACGCGCAATTACAGTGGAAATTTCTTTCTATCTTCTTTTACCCCACCAAGACATCACACAAACGATTAACACCTGATGACACAAAGTGCCACCATGTGGATGAGGATCACCCGTGGAGAGATACCAGAAACCGCGTTCAGACATTATACCATTCACATGGCCGGGCTATATTGCGGCCCCTGGCAAGAGCCAAGTAGGATTTCAAATAACGAAAAATTGCAACCTACAACGGGATGACAGGATTGACAGTGGAAATTTCACTTTCTGGTCTCATCTATAGAGATAACTTCCACGCCATATGCTGTGCTGCTGTCATACATGGCACTATACATGATGGTCTGTAAGAAGAAAATTTAAACGAATTCTTGATGTATTCATTGATTTATTCTTGAGGAAATAGAAATGAACTCTTGATTCATTCATTGTTTCATTCTTAGGGAAATAGAAACGAATTCTTTATTCATTCATTGTTTCATTCTTGAGGAAATATGAATCAGATGACAATGGAGACAGGGGTAAGAAATCATGTGTTGACACATTTGGGAGCCGCCGAGGTGTAGCAGCTAGACGCTCACTGTGAATTTGGAGGTCGTGGGTTTGGATCCTGACAGAGCCAAACTGTAAAAAAAAAATGACTTTGGCTTCCAGATCTAACCAGCCTTAAATAGGTTCCAGGTAAAGTCATGGGAAGTAAAGGCAGTCGGCCTGATGTTTCTTATCCCCCACTGAGTGTCGATTGGTCTATCAAATAAAGGTATAGCCCTATATGCCCAAGACGTCTGAAGGTGTGAAACAAGTATCCTTTACCGTTTTGCTTGTTTACTTGTGTTGTCTAGTTTGTCTGTCCCCTAACATTTTCCTTTCTTCCTCACCACGAATGCCGGCTAACACCTGCAGAATGTGTTCTCCAAGCAATTTTAATTGTGATTGTTCAAGTGAAAATAACTTAAATCTTCTAACCGATAACATCCAGTTTTAACATATGGCTGTGAATCCTGGACAATCGGTAGGCAGGCCAAACAATTTCTTCAGGCCTCAGAGATGTGGTTTTACAGAAGAATGCTTAAAATACCTTGGACAGCTAAAAAGAGCAACCAAAAGGTTTTGAAAGAGGCGGGAGCCCGAAGACAACTTATCACAGACATCAGAAGGAGGCAGTCATCATTTTGCGGCCATGGTATGGGAAGAGGGAAAATAGAACATGTTGTGACCACTGGAAAGATCTGTGGAAGGAGAGATAGAGGAAGGCAACGAGAGAAGATTCTTGACAGTCATGTTGCAAGGCATGGAGGTGTGTCGGCACACGAACTGATACATGCTGTAGGAGATCGTGTATTATGGAGAGGCATGATCGCCCACGCCAGTCGGCATGGCACCTGATGATGATGATGATGATGATGATAACCGATAACACCTGTTTGTTTACTCACAGGCAATAAACAATGGCAGCACCCAGCAGACGCCTTGCTGAGTGGGCACATCCTGTATACAGTTAAGGTGAGTGCCTGGGGTCAGCAGCAATTACAACACCATCATTAGGATAAGACTACAAACACTTTGTCTCCTCTGCCACAGATATATAAATTAGTTAAATCATATATTAACTCTTTCTGTCTCAGGCAGCTCATCAGGAGTGCCCAGATTACGTCACTGTGTATCAACCCAACACCTGGTGTGTTATTATTATTTCATGTTTGGTCTGATTATGCAAAAGAAATCTGACCAAATTTGTTAAATTTGTGTATGCTGTAACTTTGAAAGCCATACAGTGATGCCTTTTTTTTTCACTGTAATGTTTTTGCCAAACTGGGTTTCTGTTTTGAAACCCATCTGGGACTGGAAGAGGTAATAAAAAATCTTTATAAATTTTTTTGAACATACGTTAATGAGAAAACATTTTAACTTGGGGAAAAAACAAACTATACTTTTATAAAGAGAGTTTAAAATATAAAGTCTTTTATAATTTTTTTTATTTAACTTTGCCAAGTGAAAATTAAATTGACTACACACGGTCCATGTTATCTCTAAGATGGAAGTCAAGTAGAACATCCACAAAGACACACTCAGGAGGAGAAAGCAACATCAGTCATGGGCTACTGGTTGTGGATTTCATGATAAAACTGACCCCCCAAAAAATGTGATTTTAAAAAAAGCAGACGGATATGTTTTCATGAAATTGCTCTACCATTTAAATACAACACTGAAGATCAAACCAAATTCGGGTACTGATAACAGTACAAGAAGACATGACATCTAAGAGTTGGTCGCTCAAATGAGAAACATTACCTCTCATCAGCAACAACAAAAAATGGCCTAAAAAAGGTGCAGAAGATATAGAAATGTATCACAGAGGAAACATTCATGAAGGAAGAAAGATGCAAATGTTAGTTCACATACAGAAAACAATGCTTATAGTTCACATACAGAAAACAATGCTAACGAGTACAAATGCTTTATCTAATTGTGTGTACTTGTATAAGGCATAATTAATATGCTTGATTATAGACAATGATTACAAACAACTTTTGTGTTAATAGTTTCTTGGTGAGTGTGTAGTGGATCAACCAAAAGGAACACAAGTGGTCAAGGATGCCATCAGAAAGATGAAGGTGAGCTTTCAAAATTTAATTCTTTTATAATCTTTCTCTCTCTCTCTCTCTCTCTCTCTCTCTCTCTCTCTCTCTCTCTCTCTCTCTCTCTCTCTCTCTCTCTCTCTCTCTCTCTCTCTCTCTCTCTCTATCTCTATCTATCTATCTCTGTTCTCCTTCTCTTCTCTCTCCCCTTCCCTCATGTAACATATTTACAGAACCATTGAAGTCCTTATAAATGTTCAAAATTATTATGTAATGAAGTTGTCTTGTGCAACAAATATAAGCAGCATAGTTTTGCTACAGTCACTATCACATCTCCGGGTTTTATTGAAATATTCCACAACTAACCAGCTATTTCAGGTATAAAGGTAAAGTACTCAGTTTTGTCCTAAAACTACTGACTGCTTAAGATTTTCATTTTCCTACCATAGATGTCACAAGTTGTCACAAGTGAAGTTGCTACACATTGGACATTCCCATGCATACTCTGTCCTCCGATGCAGCAGCCACCTCTCTACTGACAGTTCTCATTGCAAATTAGATGTCTCTTTTTCTTGACCTTGAAGACATCACCAGCTTTACACGATATCGTTTCGTCCGTTTTAGGATGAAATTTTTTTTTATTTGAAGCCCCACCCTGGCTTATGCCAGGGGCCGCAATATAGGCAGGCCATAAATATGGCCAACTGTCTGAACACGGTTTCTGGGACCTCTCCACGGTGATCCTCATCCACATGGTGGCACTTTGTGTCATCGGATGTTTGTCGCTTGTGTGATGTCCTGGTGGGGTAGAAAGTCAGTCAGTCAGTCAACACCAGCCTGCTTCATCAGACTTGACTCTAAGTTCATGAGTTGTATTAATGTCAGAAATGTGTTATGTTACTACCTGTCAGTCTAGTCTGTATCACATTGATATCTGCTCTGTCCCTCAACCTTCCTCCGTGTAGTAGTGCACTTCTTGCCAGCTGGTCTGCTCATTTATGACCTTTTATTCCCACTCACCCTGGTGTGTAGATCCAGGTGAGGCAGTGTAAGTGTAACTTCTGATTGGTGTCTACCCTTTAGAGCACAGGCGGCCTGTTCTGATTTTTAGAAGCATTGTCATGGAGTCTGTTATGATGTGGCTGCCTGTTGTGCTGACTGTCCGACTGCTCTGGGAGCAGCTGTTGTCTCCATGGTCATGCTTGAAGTTAGTGGCCTCGTTTGCAGCAATATCATCTTTTATCATTTTCATTTGCTGTGCATCCCATGCTAACCTTAGGGCCGTAAAAATATTAAATCTAATAAACAAAAAGACAGTATTGATTAGCACTCATATAAAGAAGTAGATACACACCAGGCAACATACAAATGGAAAGATATTGTCATCTGTTTATTTATGTAAATTTTAACTAGATTGTGCTCTGTACTAAGATATTCTTTTCTTGTTTGATCTATTTCAGAATAAAAAAAGAATGTTATAGAAATAATAAACATTAACAATATTAGTGTGCTACTCGTGTTTTCACTATTCTTGTTTACTGTATGCATTGTATTAACAATAATTGCTTCCATCTTTGAGTGTGCCAAAAGTGATCTCCTTTGTTTTAAGTTTACCAAGCACATCAGAAGAGCAGAAGGACAGAAACCACCGAAAGTAGAGCTGACGATTTCAGCAGATGCTGTGACCATTTTGGACCCCAAAACAAAAGTAAGTATCAAACTTAAATACAGTTTTGAACTAGCCATTTCAGTATTCTCTGGTTGCAGAAATAAATGTTGTTTTCTCTTCTTATTGTCATGTTGTGTTTCCCTCTACAAATGTATTTTAACAGGATAACCTTCAAACTAAAAAACACAACCTGAACCAAACTCTCAACTTCTCATACTTCGTCAATGGAATATCATGTGACAGATTTTAGTGAGTTAGGTACACAAAATCAGTACAATTAAATTATTTGTTGCAGAGGGAGGAGAGAAAGAAATACAGATATTTGTTTGTTACACTGGAAAGAGGGAAACGAACTCATAACTAAGTTATGGCTAAATATAAGGATGTAATAAATGACTATCTTTGAGTGTTAGAGTGAGAAAGCAGGGACTGAAATAAATGATAATTTTATTTGTTGTATACAACCACATATTTATGCCCACATCTATTTATTGTCTGTCTCTACTTAATGCTGTTTGTAAGCCACGGCTAATTATTGGTCTCTGGGAAAGTGTGCACTCGTTAGCTTGCTGCATGGGGATATTGTTGAGTTTCAGCAAGTTGTTAACTCCATCTATCAATTTTCTTCTTGGTCTTCCTCTGCTCATTGAAGTTTCCATGTCCATGTTGGTCTTGCAACTGGTGATGGTGGGTTCATTCTTATCAGGTAGCCTAACAATTCTGAAAAAGCCTTGTACGCTGATGATCTAGCAATATGGCAGGGTAATGAAAATGTAGAAAGCGGAGCCCAAAGACTAAATAGAGACATTAGAAGACTGCATGGGTACTGCCAAAGATGGAAACTCAAGGTTAACTATACAAATACGGTCTACACAATCTTTACCAAAAGCCATCAAGTAGCAAGCAAAAATATTAACTTGAGGCTAGACAGTCACCAAGTGATGAAAGAAGAGCATCCTACATACCTCTGAGTCACACTTGACTTGCAGCTCAGCCTCAAGAACCATATTGAAAATGTAAGGAATAAGGCATTGAGGCGGTTATAGTTATTAAAGAGACTTGCTGGTACAGCATGGGGATCAGGCAAGGGAACTCTGAGGGGCTTGTACCTTGGATATGTTGGCTCTGTGATAAAGTACATCAAATCCCTGCTTGCAGCCTGCTCCAAAACAAACCTAGAGTCTCTTGATAGAGTACAAAATAATGCCCTCCAATTAATCTGTGCAGCTATGTGGTCTACTCCAACTGCTGCATGTGAAATCCATACAAATGTGAAACTCCTCAGTTGCAGAGAGAAAAAGCAACTTTAGAAGTTGTAGAAAGATGCGTTAGAATGAATCATAACCATCCTAATAGACACAGAATAGAACAGTTTTACACTGTGTACATGAAATACAGGACAGATAATACCTCCCAGAAAGACATCAGGGCACTCAGAATGTGGCAAGAAAACTATCACTACATGCTCGCTTCAAAGCTCCAGAAATCAAAATGAAATTGGTAGACAAAGAAACCAAACAGTCCGACCCAATCTCCCTTATGAACTGATAACTAAAGACCATTAATTCTTACCCCGAAGAATGGATACATGTTTATACTGATGGATCTGAATTTAAAGCTACTGTTAAAGCAGGTTAGGAAATCTACATAGGTATCCCGATGGATCTGTTGAAGAGATTTTTGATGCATGCAGGGAATTCTGCTCAAATTATGAAGCCGAAATAATTGCACTGGAAACAGCTGTATACCACCTAAAGACTGTAATGGATGTTTACCCTTCAAAGGCCAATAATATTGTCATCTTCACAGATTCAATGTCTGCCCTTCAAGCTTTATAGGGCCGTGAATGCTGCAGAACTGACATAGCCAGGATAATTCTGGATGCTGATCAGCTTATTACCTCATGCAACATCAGAATAGTGATGCAGTGGATTCCAGGCCACTCCAGCACACCAGGTAATGACAGAACTGATAAATTGGCAAAGAAAGGAGCAGCACAAGAACAACCACCTACAGTGACAACCCTACAGACAGCAAAAACACTTATAAGAGCTATAAACAAAGAGACTTGGTTGAACAGATGGGCCATGGGAGACACTGGAAGAAAAGTGTATATTCATATGGTTGGCCATGATCCTAATGACAGCATTAACCATCTAACAGGAAGGGACCAGGCCACCATCTTCAGATTCAGAACTCAACATACTCCACTCATTGGACAATTAAACAGAATTCAGCCACAACACTCCACAGAGTGCTAGCTATGTAACTACCCCTACAAAACTTGAACACTATCTCTTTGAGTGCCCAAAACTCAGTGAGACTAGAAGAATGCTACTCCCTCCGAGACCAGACAAGTGGAACACTTTGTACGGAGGAACAGAAGAGCTTGTGAAACCATGCAAATTCCACTAAATGGCATTGGGCCAAAGGGTGAAAGCTCATGCGCCGCTAGATCGATAGCAACAACATGCCATCAATCCATGAAAACATGGGCCAGAGGGTGAAAGCTCATGCGCCGCTGGATTGAAAACAACATGCCATCAATCCATGAAAACATGGGCCAAAGGGTGAAAGCTCATGCGCCGCTGGATCAAAAACAACAACATGCCATCAATTCATGAAAACATGGGCCAGAGGGTGAAAGCTCATGCGCCGCTGGATTGAAAACAACATGCCATCAATCCATGAAAACATGGGCCAGAGGGTGAAAGCTCATGCGCCGCTGGATCAAAAACAACAACATGCCATCAATCCATACTTCCTTGGTTGCCCTCTTGATATCACATCAAATCTGTTTAGGTTTAGTACCTGATAGTAGTTGTGGCTGTATTGTAACAAAAATGATAAACAATTCGAACATTTGTTTCTCAATGAATTTGGTGTTCAATGAACTGTCTCACAGTTGTGGAGGTGTGGATATAAAGAAGAATAGCCAAAGAAAAGCCATAAAGACCCTTTTCCACCACAATAGGCATATTGTGCTAGACCAAAATATTATGGCCAAATCGGCACTCGGTGGTGATTTGGTCAACACCATACTGGCCACCTTTACTTCCCAGACTGATACCCATTTAGGGCTGAGTCGACCTGAGAGCTAATGTCATTTTGGGAAAAAAATCCAGCTTGTGTGGATTTGAACCTACCACAGCATCTCCTTTTAAAAGACAACACTGTTTTAAAAACCGTACTGGAGGGGAAAGGTGAAATGAGGAAGAGATAAAGAGTGATACAAGTGGAAGGGAAATATCAGGAGATGGATAAACAGCAATCTGAGAGAGTGCACATGCAGGTTGAAAGAAAGAGTGAGTTGGAGATTAATTGTAAAAAAAAAAAAAAAAAAGTAAAGATCCCTTTCCAATGCCTTTCGCATGGAATATGGGAAGAGCACCCATATTTTTACAGACCAATCAGCACTGGGTGGGTACTTACACAGGACATACATCCTGGTACCCATTTTAGGCTGGGTCGACCTGGGATGCCCCATACCATGATAAAAATCCACACAGCCAGCAGTGGGTTGGAAATTCATTGTAGCCAACCTTTATTGTGGAGATGGCACCTGATTGATTGACTGATGTTCCCAAAGACGTTAGACAGTAATATTTTGTAACATAATTAAATAACACACATTGTGAAGAACAATTATCTCGTTGACCAAGAGCTACTAAACCAAACTGGATTCTCCACCAGCAGCCCGCCTGGCAACCCTTGTGGTCACAGTTACCTGTGCATTTTAGTAAAATCTGCCTCATAATCTTTAAGTGGCCTGAGTATTTTGCACCCACCTCTGCCAGTTTAATAATATATTCACACTGCCTCTGACCTCTGGCATATTTGCATACTAAAGTGAGTCAGAACACAGCAAAAAGTAAAAAAAAATATAAACCTAGCATTGCATTTATAAAACACCATACTGCATGGTAAAAAAAGTAGAGGACCCTTTTCCACGCCTTTAGGCGTATAGGGTATATAGGGCTAGATCTATATTTTTATAGACCAACTGGCAAAAGATGGGTGATGTGGTCAGCATCACTCTGGCCACCTTTTACTTCCCAGGACTGCAGCCGGTACCCACTCAAGGCTGGGTCGACCTGGGAGCCAAGGTCATTTATGAAAAAAGTTCGGCTCCACCAGGGAGCGAACACCATATGCATAGAAACATAGTAAATAATATCCTGCCTAAGTTTTTTACTTCCCAGAAATTAGATGATCCTCAGTAGTTAATTGTTTTCTTGCTTGAGATAGATTGATACTCGTGAATAAATTGTTTCCATTCTTTCTCAGCTTATTCTGCATCAGTATCCACTCCATCGCATATCATACTGTGCGGACGACAAGTCAGACAAGAGGATGTTTACATTCATTGCAAAGGAGGCCAGTGGGAATCAACACTTTTGCTACGTATTTGACAGTGAGAAATGTGTACGTGTCACATTATTTTATCATATATATAGTTTCTGGTATTCATCAACTCTCAAATATTTCATGTCGGAAAGTCAGGAAATTGAAGCATTTGACTGCTCCCACCTATGCAATAATAAATGTGGTAAACTGTACTCTTATAAACTGGTTTTAGTTTAAATGTTGCCATTTTCAACCTTGCTGTTTGCAGGCTGAAGAAATCACACTCACAATCGGTCAAGCATTTGATCTTGCATACAAACGATTTCTAGAGACATCTGCTTCGGATGGTGACATAAGAAAGCAATTTGCACTACTACAGAAAAGGGTAAGATGATTAACTATACACTCACAAAAATGCAAATAGAAGAGTTAGCAAATGAAGAGAAGAATGACAGAGAAAGTGTAAAGAAAGGAATGGAAACAAAAAATTATAGGTATTGATCTTATTTGAATGTCTAAGAGACTGAGTTGAACAAGTGTCTCTCAGCTATCTAATGCTGTTGACTAATTCCTGCACTGATGACATGATGCACAACTGTCTAGCATCATTTGGCCTTCCTGTTATCTATTCATTGTCCATATTATGTAACTGTTCCTCTTCAGTTATAAATTAATTTAAGAATGCAAAAATCGCATTCAGTGACTATAACAAACATGTCAGAATCAGTATACTAACAGTAAACATCCAAAAGACCCCATCAGCAGACTCAACAGAAAGCAACATAAAACAATTTTCCATTTACCAACAGGACACTGCAGGCTCAACTACTACATGCATAAAATAAAGATTGTACAGTCCCCCCAGTGTGCCTGTCTCCCCAGTTTTACAGATCTGATTTACTTGAATACAGACTTCCTTGCCTCTCATTCGGATGCACTCCGACTTCAAAGGAAGCTCCCCAATTAGTGGACTCTTACGACATGCATTTGGGGAGGCAATGACTCTATTCTTGTTTTCCCCACAGTGGGGTCTTGGAACCCACACAGAGGAATCTCTAGAAATTAACAGGTTCGTCTGGGTAAAGGTTTGACATCACAGCCTTCAGGACAAGTACATATTAGATCCATCTCTTTTCTCAACAGTCATTGAAGAGTCTCCGTACCCCTTGGCATCAGGTTAACTAGTCACCTTGCCTTTCCCCTGAGTCTCTAGTTGCACACAGAGCCCACGGATATTTCCCGCTGCAACATTCTCTCCCAGTACAGTATCTTCCATTTTACTCATGACCTGGCCCCAAAAGTGAGAGATACCTCTGCCCTGTGCAGTTGCAATACACCCCCAACTAAGGCCAGTCCAGCCAACTGTACTGCCTGCTCATTCCCAAATTTGTCTGAAAAGCCCAGGCAAAATATCCATGTGACTGTCACCATCTGTAACCTCTGGATTATTGTGACCCATTTCATTCAAAGAAACTCTGTCTCCACCCTTCTGAGCATGCTTTGTGAATCCAGTTACAGCCTCAACCTCCATTCTCATACTGGATGTGGTAATGTCATATGCCAAGCTGTCCTCATTTATCCTTCTCCCCAGTGATTTTGCAGTGAAGCATCAATCACTCTCTTTTACCACTGGCTGCGGATCAATCAGTGAACATCATCACATCTCCTAAGTTGTTGTCCTCTATCAGCTGTTTATCCTAAGCATCTGCAAGTCCCTGCTGCTAATTCCCTGCATTCAGTTACAATGAACATTTGAAATTCATTTACAGGTAAAATTTTAAACATTAATTCTGTATTTTGTAATTCATGGCAGGTTCAGACTCTTCAGTTTGAGAATGACACACTTCGTAAGAGAGTGTCAGAGCTGGAGAAATTGAAAGACAGATCAGAAATAGAGGAGTACAGAAAAGTCAACCAGGTCATACATTTCTCTGCTTATCATATATTCTACATAAATATATATATATATATAATGTATTGATCAGAACCAACGTTATGACGTTTCTCGGGGTGAGGTTCGATCGCAGCTTGTCATTCAGGGAACACGTTGACCATGCGATAACAAAAGCACGCAAAGGTCTATCTGCAATGAGGATTATGGCTGCTTCCAATATCGAGCAAAGACTGCTGGTGCTTCTATTCTATGGTCTGGTCCTTTCCCCCATTGAATACGCTCTGGCCATCCTCACTGTCAGTGCTACCCAGATTGAACGACTCGAGAAGGTGCAAAATGAAGCCATGCGTATTATTTTGGGATGTACAAGAGACACATCCTGTGGAGCAATGAGGTATCTACTTGACTTTCCACAATGAACCAAAGGATCAGGATGTGGAGGGCTCGGGCATACCTCAAAATATGTGCTGATAAGAAACACCCACTGCATCAAGCGCTTTTTAGTGAAAAGGGCGACAGACTGAAGAGGGGAAAATCGTGGCTAGGTCGGGCAGAAGATGTTATTAGGCAAATATGCAGCCTAACCGACATCATACCTGGTGCAGAATGGATACCTGTGCCTCAGGCGTTTATTTGTACATTTTCCTGTATTGTCACACTCAACAGGCGATGTAGAGAAGATAATCCTGTTGCTGTTAATGCAGAGGTCAACGCTCTCATCGGTGAAAATTCAGACGAAGCAGATGCACTAATCTATACAGACGGATCAGTTATACGCCAAAGAAGAAGCGCATGGGCATTTACAGCACGCTCAGCGGGCAGAACAGTCAAAGAAGCCAACGGCGCCTTCTCCATGACAACCAGCAGCATGACGATGGAGGTGATGGCAATATACGCAAGCGTTTGCCTGGCTTGAAACACAAAAATACACCCGCATATGTATACTCAGTGATTCAATGAGTATGATCCGGAGGGTTCAGGCAGGTTCAGTGCGAAGACAATGGCTTGAATCAATTCAGAAGTCCACTGTGCGAGGAGTCACCTTTATTTTTTGTTCCGGGACACGCAGGCGTCGATGGAAATGAAAGAGCTGACAGGTTGGCTGGATCCGCTATCACTACCGACGGGTCGGCCTATGGATCATGCTGATATTATCAATGCCCTCAGAGAAATAGGAAGGATAGAGGACTTTGGTGGCAGTGAATCCACATCACTCGCCAGAATGGCAGACTTGGGAATTAAAGATCGGCACAGCAAAAAAACGAGACGCACACCGGACACGTCAGAAGACTTGTTAATCAACATAGAACTGGTACTATTAGCCATCGGACGTTGGGATTCATACTGAGGGGAGGATCTGAGCACCTATGGACATGTCCGGAGTGCAATGATGATAACCCAACTAACTAACTAACTAACTAATATATATATATATATATATATATATATTATATATATATATATATATATATATATATATATATATATATATATATATATATATATAAAAGCAAGAGTAACATCAAAATAGAAATCAAACTGAGGTCCCTGGTTATCATTTTCATTAGAATCCTGTCCTTCAGGGATCATGTGGAGGTAACTGCAGTCACATGTGAAAAAAAAAAATCACTTAGTGCTCTCAAGATTATGGCTGCAATGGACATGGATAAACCAGCTGTCTTATAAATGTCTGAAATCTGGAGCACAACTGAAATAGATGAGCCTTATTTCAAATTTTTGAAAACAGTTTGACCTTTTAATTGTGCAAACTATAGGAAATGGTAAAAAGAAAGCAACATTAAAATTTGAGATCGGATTTTCATATTCACTGCTGATCACTGGCATTATGAGAACTAATAGAGTGAAATAGCTAAGAAATATAGAGAGAGTGGCAGGTGACAGAGAGGCAAAAACTGTTCATACAAGGAAGTTAGATAACCTTAGACCACGAGGTAGACCAAGAAGATGATGGTGAGATAATATCTAGGCAGACACACTTGGAGTCACCAACTGGAAAGAGAAGGCCAGTCACAGAGATGAATGGAAGCTGGTGATATCTGCAGCAAAAAATCTTGATGGTTCGGAATACTAAAGAAGAAGAGTTTGAATGCTCTTGAAAAAACTCAATGCCATGGATAAAAGAGAAGCAAAATAACAACATTCTACAAGAATGCCTTTGACTGGGTGAAACATTAAAAGTTTATTGTATGCCTCTAAAATATAGGATAAGATGGAAAGGATATCTAAATTATTAGTAACCTATACTGGGAAACAAATAGCAACAGTTACACATAACAACATCACCTCACCACGAATAGAGATAAAAATAGGAGTACATCAGTGATGTGTGTTATCCCCAATCCCATTCAACTTATATACAGAAAACATTTGTAAACAAATTGAATTGCCTGGACTTAATATTGGTGGAAGAAAAATAAACAGTCTGAGATAAGCTGATGACATAGTGTTATTAGCAGAAAGCCAGCAGGAGTTACAAGAAATAGTGGGTCAAGTCAGCAGAAAGAGTGCAGAGTATGGTCTAGATATTAACATTAAAAACAAAAACTATTAAAATTAACAATAGAAAAGAGTGACTAACAGTGCACATCACAGTAAATGGAGATATTAGAACAAGTCATAAGTTTCTCCTGTATTGAACACATAGTAACAGATGATGGCAGCAGTAAAACAGAAATAAAAAAAAGATAAATTATTGACAGTTAGAAAAATGAACTTCATCATCATCATCAGTTTCTGCTGTTGCATTGTGGGAAGGAACAGTTTACAATCCATTGCTTGATGGGCAGCAATGGCTAGTGTCATTCCATGTGGATGCAGAAGCTCTTTGATGTCATCAATCCATAGAGAAATAAACAAGACACTAAGAATGAGAATTGTCAAATGTTATGTGTACACAACCCTGTTGTACGGTGCTGAAACTTGGACAATGAACTAGCAGCTTGAAAATAGAGTCTCTGGAAATGTTGGATATACAGAAGAGAAGGTCGTATTTAATAAAAACAAAAATGGTAAAATATAGAGGTTCTGGAAAGTCTACGAAAGAAAAGAGAATTGCTGAAATAAATTAAAAAAGAAACACTTGAAATACTTTGGCTACATTAACTCTTTGAGTCCCATGGGGTTTAGCATCACAGGCCCAGGGGGTAGTAAAGAAAGTAATAAAATCGGCGCATCATGCATTCATTGGGCGTCTAGGTAGGAACCTAAAATGTACAATGTGTTCCTTGGGACTCAAAGAGTTAAAAGACAACACGCTTTTAAAAACCATGCTGGTTTCAAAAGTTGATGTCAAGGGAGCAAGAGGTAGACAACATTACAAGTGGGAGGACAACATCAAGAGATGGATGAACAGCATTATGAGAGAGTGTACAACCAAAACAAGAGACAGAGCATGTTGGAGATCCATTGCAGCCAACCTTCAATGTGGAGACAACATCTGATTGAGATACAAGATGTGAACACCACAATTAAAAATAAAACATGCTCCTAAATAATATCATGTATTGGTAAATGAAATTTTTTTGCCATATAGTGATTTAGAAAGAACTGTAATGGAAAGCATGGTTTCTGAAAGAAAAGTAAAAGTCGACCAACAAGAAGATCATCACAGAACATAAGACATAAAGAGTAGGAAACTGCTTGAGGCAAGGCAACTGAGAAGGGATTGAATCTTTTTGTGTAAGCAATAACTTGAGCAATATTCTGCATATCACCTACAACAGTGCAGTGCATACTGTGCACCATCATTCTTGTTGAGAACTGTTCACTGCAAAACATCTTCACAACATTGTTAACAAATGTTCATGTCCACTACATAAATCACACCATGACACTGCACAAAACTTGTTTCCGTGCAAGTTGAGGTAGATCAATGGTTGACTTTTCTTTGTGGTAGTTAATGAAAAAAAAAAAAGGTTGTTAGTGCTGGGGGGGGGGGGGAAGAGGATCTGGAAGATATTTAACACTGAAGGGGAAACAGAGCCAAACTTTTAATCAGGTTGCAGCTGGTACTATTAACATGTCCACTCTTCGCTGGTTACTGAAGTAGGGGACAGAGCACATGTGGGAATGTCCCAAATGCAGGAATGTCAATTCTTTATTGATTGATTGATTGATTCATTCTGGTAGTTTCTACGTCAGCTGTCATTTTTATTGTTTGATATGCAATTGTATAGATCACAGACCTACAAAGTGCCAAACTTAGCCTGCGTGAAAGTTCAACTGATGAAGATGACAGCCCTTTATCGTCCTCTGATACTCAGGTAAATTTTTTTCTCGGGGGGCTTACTCAGAAGTTTACAACTCGCTTCACATAATTGCAACTCAGTTCAAATGAGTTCATCTCTCAGGTGACCAGTTTACATAAGTCTCCAGAAAGTTAGGTGAACATAATATTTTATTGTATCAGGCAAGATAGGCTATGAAAATAATCATGGTGTGAACAGTCTCTTTTGCTGAAGTAAAAGAGTTGTGACAGATACTATATGTATATATATATATATATTTTTTTTTTTTAGGGATATACAGATTATTAGTTTAACAAAAATCAAAGAAGTTTACCAAGAAAACAGCAGCACTTTTGCAAATGAAAATTATAAAATCATAAGAACACAGGAAGTCTAAGATCATTTGCAAAACATGTGTGTTGATCCATAAGATAACTGCTGCTTTCCGTCGATGATGAACTGTGTTTCTAATGTCAGACTATTTGTGTTAGCACTTCTGTTGGCTGCCATATGCTTTAAAATGCATGTGTATGCTAGTGGATATGTCTGTGTCAATTTTTCTACAGTGGACGTGTTGTGTGTGTGTGCGTTTTTGTTGGCACAGGAGCAGAACAACTCTAGGGTGACCCGTTTGCTGTGATGAAGTTTAAACTAAAATTACCAAAGAAACTATGCAATGAGAAAAAGATTGTTAAAGTGCTATAAAGAAACTAATATTCTATGCATTTGAAACATAGACAGTAAGCAAAGTTTAGAAATATCTAAATAACAGTGGAA